ATTCAGCATCAAGTGCGTAAACATTTTTATTGTTCTGTTCTACCCGTTTTTTTTAAAAATACATTTTCCCCATTTATCTTATATTGTACTGTCCAACGTGTAATGCATCTTAACCTGCAACAAATAATGAATCAACAATTGGGGAACATGTTTTTAAGGAAACGTTTATCACATAAAAAATAACATCAAGGGTAGAAAATGCTGATAGTTATGATTTGACAATATTTTACTTTGTATTATTTGGCAATATTTACCTCAGACTGAATAGGTTTCGGACGATTTCCGTTAGTTTCCCGTATTTGATACGCTGAATGAATCATGTAGTTATTAAATTACTGCCCGCTGGACTAGTGGTTATTACAAGAGGAGAGTATTCGCATGGTTGCAAGTTCGAGATCAAGATTTCTTTAACAAAATATTTCTTTATGCATAATATGTTAAGTTTCTTATGTTTTTCTTTTTTAAGTTCGTTACTTTGTTAATTTTTTTTTCTTTGAAATGTGTGAAGTCGTACGAAAACAAAGTGGTCAAGGTTTTCGCAAATGAAAAATGAAAATATGACATTTCATCACGATTCAAACCTACAACAGTCAGTTTGAAACAGAAAGTCTAAACCTTGTTTTTGAGGCTAAGAAGCAAAACAAGTGTTACGCTGGTAATTTTAACTTATACATACCATTATGTCATTCTGGTTTACTTAAGATAAAAATTATATAATCGTATTGAATTTTCAAATGTCTCAGTTCAATACTGCAAAAGTATTAAAGATAATAGACGAGAAGTCGGAAAAGAAATCTACAAAAGAATCAGGCAAAATTAACGAATCATAGAAAAGTATCATTTGATTTTTTAACAGTGATCATGTCTGATTAACCACTTTCTTTATCATAAAATAGCACTTTCTTTACAAGAAATTATTGCAATATTGAATTGAAGGATAGAGTAGTTAAACAATAAACAAATACCATTTTTACTACAGTTTGCCACTTAAATTATAAAAAGTTGACATTAGATATAATAAATTCAAGTGAAGCAAGGACGATAAACAGTTATAAATATTTGACCGCCGAAAAAAAACGTTTCAATTAATTACTTCATTGTACATGTACATAAAATAATACAGTGGAGCCTTGCTAATCCGAACCCTTCTAATCCGGAATCCTTTCTTATCCGAACGAAGTGTCCGGTCCCGATTTTTTTCATTCTATTTTCAATAGTAAAAAACCTTTCGGATCCGGAACCTGTCTACTCCGAATTCCGGACGATTTTTTCAATGTTTGTTCTTATTTTACTCTAAAATTTACCTCTCGGATCCGAACAGATTTTGCCAAATGTCACCCCTTCATTCAAAATAACAAATAATCGCACATCTTGCAGGTGTAAACATACACCAAACTGATAAGTGTTATTTCGGCCCGTGTTATTTCGCTTGATTAATGGGTGAAACGTATGATCTGCGAAGGTGTGAAAATTACACTTAGCTTGCCTTGATATCTTCTATTATTGCTTAATTGATTGTTTTTCGTCAGCTCTATAAATATTTTGATATAATGCAATAGAAATATCTTTTAATCCCTTGTATTGGATTCAATGATACGTGATTAAGTAATGAAAATTAATGGAAACTGTCAGTGAGTTCGGATACTCGCTGAATCGGATAAGAGTAAACAACAATTGACAAATGCTGGTACGAATATCTAATCATATCTCGGCCTCCTGTTTAACATCTTAGGTTAACATATCCTTGGGGACATAATATTTTTGCTTATTTATTTATTTTTATTTCTTTATTTTTGTATTAACATATATTAAAATGAACGACAAGAGACTGCAAAAATAAAATATCTAAATTGCAATTTCAAATGCATTCCCGTTTTCTTTCCTTAAACTATTTTGCAAATAACAGGAAAAAAAACATGTAAAAAAAACCTTCTAATTCGGAAACCTTTCTAATCCGGAAACCTTTCTAATCCGAACTTTTCTTCTGGTCCGGACGAGTTCGGATTAGACAGGTTCCACTGTAATGATAATAATAATAATCACTGCAGTTAAAAACGATATAATTAAAACATATCATTGGACTGTTTACGGAATAAAAAGTAAAGAGAAAGAAATGATGTTTAAAGGGAGCTAAATATTGTTGTCTTGTCCAAACAATCTTTACTTGATTATCTGAATTGACACATAAGGTCATATGAAAATTAAATAGCGCATGATGTTAATATTTCTTGGCAGCATGAAATGTGTCAATTATAACTGCTTACATAAAATAATACGTTTTATATGGATCTGATTTCATATTGAACTAAGAGACAATAAAATATTGAATATATACAATGTATCTTCTATTCACATATGTATAAACATTTAGTATTGAGACGTACTTTTTATCGTTCGCATGATCACACATTACAAAATAATAATTGAGACGCGTCTATAATACTGAGTTCGAGTATTTAAAGGCATAATATGCGCATGACCACACATTACAAAATATTTGGAATACCGCGTCGAAAATACTGAGTTCGGATATTTTCAGGCATCGTATACCTCAAAAAAAATATTCTTCTTCAGAAGGGTTTAACATCATAACATGTGTTTAAAAAATGTTTCAATAATGGATTTTGAGTATATTATATGCACATCAGCGGTAGAAAGTTGCGCAGAAAAGAAATAATATGTACTTATTACTAATTAAGGTAGAAAACTGCAAAGAAAGTGGTATTTAACCCATTACTGCATGAGCATTTTGTGAAAAATAGCTGTTTTCATTGAAAAGTCTCCAGTTAAAAGTTCAAATTGCTATTAAACTATAAAAACTGCTTTAATACTTCAAACTTGGTATAAATGTTGACTGGACCATTGCTTTTGTAACAACATGCTCAGTCCTTAATTTCCTGTTGCCATGGCAACGAGGGGACATCTCAAAATTGCCAAAAATTACTATTTTGCGTTGATATTTTTTTCCATCAAAATTAATTTCAAAGTGCTGCAACTTCTCAATGGTTTGAAATAGAGTCAAAGGCTTTTCAGAGTTGGTTACACGTTACCTTATGATCGACCTGGGTCACTTTTAGCATCTCATAAGTCCAAAACTTTCTTGGCGATCAGGGGTCTGCCGCCCCCTTCAAACTCCCAAACAGAAGGGGGACACAAGTGTTGGGGACCTTAATAAGGCATTTTTTCACCATTTGAGACAACAAAAAGGGGGGTGAAAAATGGGTTAAAAGGCGTGAATATCTGGTAATGGGTTAAACTGCCGTAGAAAGTACCATACTATACTAATAACTTTACTATTGCCAAGGAACAGAAGAAGCAAAAGATGGTTCAATTTTATGACCTATGAATTCTTTTCCAGAAACCGTAACATGATGCCAAAATAAAAGTATTAGAGAAATGAAAAAATGCATTTTGCAGGCTTATGGGTCTTTTTCGTAACGTTTAACATAATAAGATAGACATACACTAAGCAACCAAGGCATCTGAGTGTATTGTTTTTCAACATCAGAAATTTTATATGGTATTAAATGATATATTTTATTAAATATTTTATGATATATTTTATTATTAATACAAATTTTACAGGAGAAGCAGTAATCGATGCGACGAGGAAGAATAAACGTTCGGAACTTGTGCAAAGGGAACAGTTTTGAAAAAGATAGTGTTTGAATATGGCAGATTAATGCAGAATCGTTCAGTGTATTACTGCTACGTTCAAAAATGTGGAACAACTTTCATGGAAGTATTTCTAAAAAAGGTCTTCACAAGTCCGAACACTGTTTATACAAAATAATACTATGAAGAGGTAAAGGAACCCCATTCCATACCAGATTTTTACTATTTCGCCTTCGTGCGGGAAACGTATAACAGATTGTTTTCAGCATACGAAAATACATTTTTCCACCCAAACGAAATGTGGAAGAAGCTAGGAACTAACGTTATCCGTGAAGTGAGACCAAATGCTTCCGAAGCAAGTAAAGACATCGGTCATGACGTAACGTTTTCTGAGCTTGACCAGTATGTGGTGAAAATGTGGGCAGAAAGAACCCTTAATCCACACCTTGCGCCTATGAAAACTATTTGTGATCCGTGTCAGGAACGTTTTGATTTTATAGGAAAATTGGAAACAATGTTACAAGATCTACAAGATTAAGTTGAGGAGTTGAAATATGGAGCGGTCGGTTCAAAAGGCATCCGCCCTATACCCAAGATAGAATATGACACGACAATTTCACGAGTTTTCGGTCATATATTCGACATGTTTGAAAGTGTGAAAAATTACAAACACTTGATATCCAAATACAAGAGTAATTTATCTCATAAAAAGTGTTATGTTGAGATTGAAAGGGTTAAAAACTTTGATGAACACATGATTAATATATTTATTGTTTAATAAACACATATTTGAAACGTTAGAACTTATGAATCGAGATGTGTGTCTCTAAAGTCTACAGTAGCTTTAATAGTGTACTTTAAACCCTTTATCACATATTTGTTTTTATGCAATAGAGCATAGTAAATTGGAATGTGACTGGGTGTGATTTAATTAATTTAGAGCAGAACTCACAATCTCATTCCATACGGTCAAGAAAACAGACTGAATCGAATAGCCTGTGATTATTAACAAAATACAAACCGCATTGAGTAAAACAAACTTGTTTTCTCATAACAATGACCAGAGACATAGATTATAGAGATAGGCAACTTTATCTGAGTTAACTAAATCTCTATTATAAAATGATTCGCTTAAACAAAATTCAAACCATAATAAGTAAAACAATGATATTTCACATTGCGAATCAATTGTAATGATGTTTTTATGTCAACTATTTTGGAGTTAATGTTCCTGTTTATCTGTTTCTGTTTTTTTACTTGATTTTAAGTAATTAAAAAAAAGAATTCGAAACATGGGGTGCTGTTTTTTCTTTTTTACAAAGCGGAAAATATTTTTTCTTCTACAAAATTATGCCACCGGGTTTTATTGAAAATTATCACTCGGATATTCAAGCTTTGTTCTGTGTGAATATAAAAATCTTGAATCTTATTGATAATTGTTTACTGTGACAAAATAGTGTATATGTTTAAAAAAAGGTCAATAATTTAGAGACGCTTTGTGTCATAGGTTTATCAAAAGAAATTGTCGAGTAAGTTTTAAAATTGACATCTTTGTTTCGAAATTAAATTTACTATTAACTGATTTACTTTAGGTACAATCTGACGAATGGCAGCATGTATTGAATAAAGCGTTGATACAAAAGCTCGTAAGGTACCTTGAGACACAATTAATAAGATTATTATTTGACTCGTGATAATGAAAAATAGTCGATAAAAAGTTAAGCATAAGCAGGTTTATTGTATTTTATCATATTAATCCTAAAAACTAACAAATAAAAAGAGAGAAACTGCTTTTAAGTTAACAATTTAATTATTTATTCCAAATCAATCACGTCAAAAGTATCAGACGAAATTTTACAAACAACAGCTCCGCCGATGCAGGTTATTTACGCCCGATGGCAAATTTATTTTACAAGACGGTATCATGGACAGAAATATGTCTCAAAGAAAAATAGCAAATTATTGGTGTAAATGGCTCAGATTATGACTTTTCCATCAAATGTAAAAACGGCTAGGTTCTTTTCTAGTTCACGAGTTAACATTTTTGTAATAGAAGATTATTGAACACTATAATTTGATTTCTTTTTTTTATTTATTTTTTTCAAGATATAAGCTAATTAAACTTGGCCTGCGTAAGTCATTATGTGGAAACCAATAATTTCTCAGTAAATTTGCTGAAATGGGGGCATAACTTTTCCAATAATTAATTGATTGCAATATAAACTTGTGTTTAGATAATTATAACCTACTTCCTTGCCAAATATAAAAAGAACCACTGAAATCCTTCAAAAGTTATTTTGCAGAAACCCTTAATGCCATACCGTAGATCTTCGGGTATGTAAAAAATTGAAACAAAACAGCACATAGGTTAGAAATTATTAAAAATAGATAGATTATTAAAATTGACTAAAAATTTGGAAAATGGGGTACCCAGAAAAAATATTGAAAATAAAGTTACCAATAAAACAGTTTCACTCTGTTGACTGAGCCTGTCCATGAGTGGAATTACATGAGAATATTTGTCATTGTCCCCAACACACTCGTTTTAATAGATCTAGATCAAAGTTCTATTTGAAAAAAGAACAATAGAAACTAAGTGAAGGTAAGGAAGGTAATCAAATAATGTCTTTAACAAACAAAAGAACAATGTTTAAAATATTGTCTTGGTTTCGATTTAATCCTGATTTATTTCTTAACCCCATAACTTTTACGACATTAAAGACTTCCATATTGCTTTTAGGTGTAGTTGTTTTTGTTACTTTTGCATTAGGCATTTCTTAAGGCAAACGGGAAAATCTAGTCACAAAGTAAGTATAATAAATGTTAGAATATTTGTGTTCAAACGTCGAAATATATGACACGTTTAGCTCCTGGACTTTAAAATATTATTTTACAATTTTGATTAGGTGACTAAATTATAAGTGCCGGTAGACTATCCTCGAGATTAATGGATATTGCATATTGTTATAAATTTTCCAAAAAGCCCGATGTCATTTCTATTTTTAATAAAAACTGTGTGTAGCTTTATAAAACTTAAAAAGTTTAATAGACAAAGATTATTGGAAAAAAATGGGATTGCATAAAAATAAATACTGGAATTATATCCTCGTTTTTTCTATTTCTCTCTTTTAGAAATTTTAAATGTAAAACACATTTAATTTTACTAATTACGCACTATATAACCTAAACTTCTATTATAAACTCGTTGAATATATTGCTCAGCGTTTAGAGATCTTAATCCTTGAAAAATGATATATTTTATAGGCAATGACAGAATTTATTCTTTCTAGACCTGGATTGTGGCAACAATAACCCATTAGGGGTAACAAATTGCCTCCCTTTTGAAGTAAAATCACGAGTCGCCTTATGATCTTTGAAGTGTCGATTTGTTTTAAATTCAAAGTGATTAAATGTAAAAGAGGTGTACACATTTTTAGCTATGACATAATTATTTTAAATTGAAATTCACGGTTGATGCCTCTTTCTTTTCAGACCAAGTTCCAGCTTCCCACTAAATATCCTCATGGAGAATGTATCATCAATCATCATTATATTACTGATAGTATCCCTCTTTGTTCATTGTCAAGGGGAAAAAAATATATTAAATTCTACAAAACCAGCGTTAGATGGCGTTGTTTACAGTAATGTGAGTCATATAAGTGAAACTGAAGAGTCAAAAGCAATTATAATTCGTTCCCTTCGCGTAGCAAATGAATGTGAAATTGTTGTAAAAAACAGAAGTGCCTATATATTTCAACAGGTACTGAAAAAACATAGACCCCACTTTGTTCAGTTTCATATTGTATTACAGAATGTTGAAGTAAACAAAACCAAGGACGTGTTTCAACCTGGCAGATGGTACTGGACTTTTGGATTAATGTCCAAGCCATATCAATTTCCATCATGGGAATTAAGTTATGATCTTTATTCGTTTGGACTGTTGGATTTTAAAACAGCACTTGTACCATACATTTTCATGAAGGTGTATGGGGAATGCAACTTGACATTGGGAACGGAAGAAACATCCAAACTTATCACGGAAGCTTTAAGTCCACTCGTCAATATCGACAGCGCGTCTAAACTTCCAAGAGAATATCAGGAAAACTATTTTTGTTATCTTTCAGTCGACGAAAACATTCGCAATACTTTAGCTTACTCGGCGTCGATTTACCTCCTATTCCCTATCATATATATCAACTACAAATGTTGTTTCCTGCAGTACAATTTCAGGGACGAAAGGTTTGACGACAATTGTTCTAAAGACATAAGGCATATACAATGGACGCATTTAAAAACTTTCAACATAATTCTTTGCATTTTAATAATCGCATTTTGTCCAATACCTCTTTTCAAATTATTAGCTTGGCTAGGAGAAAAGGATAGTACAAAAGAAATACCAATGACCGACGTAGGACATGACCAAGAAGAATGGATATATGCAAACGGAGAGCATCCTCTTACATTTTTGATGTTATAAGCTTTCATGGGATTGGTATCGACAAACAATGGCCAGTGTTAATTTCAAGAATCAGAAGATTCTTTTGTCTCATATTGGCACCTTTGATAATTTATATTCAGCTGTATATGAATATCGGCGGTATTGGTGTTTGGACGAAAGGTGATAAAATAACTACCAAAGATTTTGTAGACGTAGGAACACCTGTAGGTTTTCTGGCACTTCTTGGTGATGCAAGCAATAGACATAAAGTTTTCGTCCCGGCATTAGGGGGACCAGTTGGCATCACTTCTCTTTATTTTGTTCTTGGTTTTTTCTTTTTAGTTTTACCTAGATGTCTTAAAAATGTTGTAAACAATGGTTTGCCAGTTTCGTATATTTTTTGTGAAAACCCAAGTGTCAATAATGACGAAGGAAGGCAGTGTCCCAGCTGCAGAAATATACAGTCGCCCCTTTTATTCGGAGCAAATGATATCATTAACCTGTCACAGATCAATGTTGACCCCGCTGATTTGAAACCTGGATACACAAAAAGTGGTACTCTGATGAGATGTAATTTCTATATGTTATTTTCAATGAAATTCTGGCGTTTAGTCTGGCGAATACAAATAACAAGGGCTTGTTTCATCTGTGACCGAATGCCAATGCTTCTGTTCTTTCTCAGTGTTGTTTGTATACCTTTATATATTGTGATTTGTCTCTTAGAAATTTTGATATGTCTTTTATATTTTGGAGTACCGTTTTTCTTTTTCTTAATTGTTTTGATAAGAGCGGCTATGAATATGATACCAGATTTGAGGAAAAAATATACAATGTTTTCGTACATATTTAGTTTTCGTTTCATAAGGTGCCTCTGTAACTTTATTTTATTCATATCTATTTTGGCATTTGCTTATTGTAATTACTTGTTGATAGTTGCAAGCCTAAGATTTATCTCTAAAGTAATAACATACTGTTTTATTGCTGTCGTTATTTTCCCTTCGGTTTCTTTTGGAAATATTTTCCTTTTTGTCGTTATTGTATATTACATAATACGCCAACTAAAACTGTTTAGTTATAATTATACATCAATTCTTCTTTCTGCAGTCACAATATCAAAACGGATCAATAAAACACAAAATCACGTGACATGCTTCAATGGTCATTTGACTGTTTCAAACGTTATGCTTAACGAACTAATGGGAATAGAAATCAATGGACGGTTTTTGGAAACTTCTCAAAATATCGCCTTGTCTAACACAAGAGAAAATGTTATTGAAATGAAAATAGCGGAACATAGCTATGGTATACCAAATGAGCTTTTTCAATTGCTTATTCGTAAATATCGCCCGGTGCATAAATATGTTCTGTCTTTGCTATTAAGAGTTTCCGTTTTAATATTCTGGGTACTCCTTTTCCTAATTATAACACACAATTATAGTTTAGTACCCGATGACCAAATAGCAGAAGTACTTCACGTGATATTCATCATTGCTGTTGGCGCATTGCCAAAGCTCATATAATCTAATCTTATAAGTAATTCATATTCACCAAAGGACAAAATAGAAAAGAAATTCATGGAGCAGACAATTATTGAGTATTGGACTAAAAGAAAAGCATCGTGAAAAAGTGTAAGTTCAACCCTGCTTTTTCAGACATAGAAGGACCATGTGTTAATAAATGTTTTCAATTGTGCCTGCCTCTGCAATTATGCTGACATTGAAGGCATGATTTATAACTTATCTTATATACCCGTTTATTTATAACTTATTTGATCGAGGAAAAATAAGCATCTTATCCTCGAAATACCTTGAATTTTGTAACTTACTTGCATATTTTTCAGCTTAATAAAATAACAATCAAAACGTTTTTGTTGAATTCTTGATTTTCGTTTCATGTAAAGCTTTGATATAGAGGATATTTGTTTGTTTTGCATGTAAGATTGAAATCTATTCACTGAGTGAACACCAGATGTAATTTTCACGAGTGGCGTAGCCACGAATGAAAATAGAATACCTGGTTTTCACGAATGAAATATATTTCAATCTTAATGTAAAACAAATAAATTTTCTTTTTATTTCATGCTTTTTAAGTTACTTTAAATTTTGTATACTGATTTTGCCGCGTAACGTCGCACATTCCCCTTGGTAACGTCACCACAACATGACGTCACATCATCAATTTTGAAATATTGTTCTGCTATTTCTCTAATTTTGTTACATTTTTAACATGATGTATGATGACATCGACTTTATTTTCCTAAAGAAGCAAAATTTACGTATGACTGCATTTACTTCTGTCTGTTATTCCATTTAGTTATGATATTCTTTTCATCCGCATTCAGATATAGTCCGGCTACAGTGAAAATTATATTTTATAGATTTCACTAGTGGTTTATCAGAATATAATCATCTGATATATTCCAGTAAAACACTGGAAAGCATGAAATAAGTTTTTATCATCATCTTGGTGGCCATTTGGATAACAAATGTGGAGGGCTTACTCTAAGTACATATTCTTCAGTCTCTGTCTTGAGTTCAAACTTGTATGTGTATAAAAAAAACAAAGGAATCCACAAGCATACTAGAATTAGTTTTAAGCCTACTAGTAAGCGTTGTATCGGAACACAAAATTATCAAAAAGTCAACTGAAGCCCTAGGGCTGAAGTAAGAATTATACCAATTAAAAAAAACTTATAAAAGAATGGTGATCAAAATACTTATATAATTTTTCACCAAATAAATGGTTAATCTTTAATATTTTTTTAACATGCAGTTTTACTCAGGTTCATTTACTCAAACGATTTATATAACCAATGATAATGATAATGATAGTTTAATATTTATCTAGTTCAAACACTTCTAGCTAGAATGAAAAGGAAAATGTTAATAATACTGAAGACTCAGTTAGATTTAGTCTGTTTAACTGAGTTACTGGAAAGTGCACTGCCGATCAATATCACTAGCACCAAACACCAACTACAGCAGTATTCTAACTATTACTGATGTGCTATATAAAATGTTCTAAGATTGAGATGAAATGCAAGCTGGCACAAAGAACTTTACATGGGTGTTGTGAGTATATAAGTCACGGTTCAGAACTGTTCACTATTTAGGGGAGAAGATGTGTAAGCGGCCGGATAGCTCAGTCGGTAGAGCCGCGGTACGGTATTCCGAGGGTCCCAGGTTCGAGCCCCGGTCAGGCTGCACATTTTTCTAACCCTGTGACATTTGGCGCCCAACGTGGGCCGTGACTGATAAAGCTCAGATTTTATTTTACATTGATTTGTAACTCTGTGAAATTCGAGGACGAATTTCAATATAGCAGGAGAGTATGTCACGATTCAGAACTGTTCACTATTTAGAGGAGAAGATGTGTAAGCGGCCGGATAGCTCAGTCGGTAGAGCCGCCATACGGTATTCCGAGAGTCCCGGGTTCGAGTCCCGTCAGGCTGCACATTTTTTCTCACCCTGTGACATATAAATTTTAAGGATATATTCCTTCTCCTTTCTTGTTTGTTTGGTAATATTTCAAGTGTCAGATCGACACAAGATAATACAGATAGTGAATGATTATGATAGTGATAGTTAAAAATTCATCTAGTTCAAACACTTCTTGCTAGAATACGGAAGACGTGAAAAGGAAAATGTAAATAATACTGAAGACTCAGTTTAATTTAGTCTGTTTATATGAGTTACTGGAAAGTGCACTGCCGATCAATTTCACTAGCACCAAACACCGACTACAGCGGTATTCTAACTTCTACTGATGTGCTATATAAAAATGTTCTAAGATTGAGATGAAATGCGAGCTGTCACAAAGAACTTTACAGGTGGTGTTGTGAGTATATAAATTTTAAGGATATATCCCTTCATGTGCACTTGTTTGTTTGTTTGGTAATATTTCAAGTCAGGTCGACACTGTTAATATAATACAGATAATACAGTGACTCTCCTGCATTACCCTCATATGCGTTTTCCTCTACACTGGAAAAATGCAGACTCTGTATGAAGGAACATGCAGATAGAAGCAGAAACTCTCAAGCATATAAGCTTGACACTAAAGTTGATAACAATGTAAATACATCAAGGGACGAAGCAATATGAAATTGTACAAATTATGTTTATATTTATTCATTGTTACAGTATTTCACTTTGCTATTGTCTTTTATCATACTTAAGATAATGTGTCTGCTGTATATTTCTATCTACCATATACCCTTATTTCTAATGTCGAAATAACATTTTATTTTGTTCAATTGTTTCTTTTTTGCATGTGTTTTTATCATAAGTGACCAGGTAGTGAACAATGATCGTTGTCAAGGTGTCTTACGAACATCTCAAAAATACATAAAAGAAAGGAAAATTGATCAAACTATTAAAATGTTTAAAAGAAACAAGCACGAAAAAAAAGAAAAGACCGGAAAATTGAAGCAGCAAAGTTACTTTGAACCTAGAAAACTGAAACGCCCATGTGACCCAGGCAAACTCTTTTACGACACAAGTTCACCAAATGGCGTCTTGTCTTGTTAAACAGTGATTGCAGCAAAGACAAGCAAACTATAACTCTACTCACATCGTATAACGATTCTGTTACTTGATAACTTATATATAAGTAAAACATTTACATATAACTTGGTGTACACATACAGTTCAGATTGCGAAGAAAAATACCAGACACAAGTGTTGTAAAAGAGTGTAAAATCTGGAGAAGGATGATCATGACTGTGTTGAGTTATTACAATCACTGAATACGTAATACTTTGTAAATCATATACAATCATGCCTATAAAGACTTGACCGCCAGCACTGATGTTGTTCCTTACCTTATTGACGCTACTGTAGTGTATAGCTTAGAAATTAAACCCCGTAATGTGATTATAAAGATTATAAAGAGAAAGAAGTCGATGTTTATTTGAAAAGGTAAAACTAGATTTTTCTATGTGTCGTAAATAATGCAAGATTCATGTTTACGTACATGTGAAAGATCAGATTAAAATTGTTACCCCCTTAATATTAGTACACCAATTTACGTTTTATAACTTCACCTTTTACACTTTTTCACTATGAGGATTCTTTCTACAGATATCTAATTAGAATATTTACACAAAGATAATTGAAATACAATAAAACGATTCAATACTAGAAATCAATTATAAAACAATATAATACTTATAGTATTTTGTTTTTCATTTTGATGGTAATGAAGATCATAACAATTGACGACCACTTAAACTTCTTTGCATAACTGAACTAAGTGATAAGATCTTTTCGTCCAGAAAATGCTAACTTATCCATCGGAAAACAAATCTGTCCAGTAGTTTTGTGTGTAAATTTGACAAAGAGATTGATATTAGACATTCAGCAGGACATTGAAATTTTACCGAATGTAGCAGTAAACACGGCATTACATACAGCATTACATTGAAACGTTATAGAATATCCAGCTGACAGGACATTCGGCTAAACATTCAACAGGACATTGGACTGGACCGCTGCACCTTTCAAGAACAAACGCATTATATTTAGTAAATCGTTAATATTGTTTATTTTTACTATAACTGTCATGCATTCAAACGGCGTTAAATACGTCTAGAACCTATTCAAAATTTACCCAATCCGTTTCCTTCCATACACCGGTGCTTGTTGTTTCTACCAACATTAAACGTCTAAAAAATAAAGCAATGAATTGTGCTACCTTTTCATCCATTTGAACAATTATCGCAATTCTCACCATTGAAGTATATTGAGAGTCAACGTTATATAACTGTTTTCTTGAGCTCTGTCTCGAATCATTTTCATTGGTTTGTTTTCATTCTGTGTTGGTGTTTTGCCAATCAAATACCTGAAATCTGTGTTTGAAATCTTAAAGTTAACAGTTATAAACAATGTATATGAAACGAGTTAGTTACAAGGATATAACACTGGTTAGGGAGACATCAAGGGGTGTTTCTGCTAAAAATAATGTCAAGGCCATTAGCGCAATTTTAGCTAATATAGATTAAACTTGAAACACGCTATGCACAGTATGATATCAAATATTTGAAAATAGTGAAAATAACTTATATACGATATGGAGCTCGGGAGCTTTGAAGTGAGAAAAACTGAATCATGAATGAATCATGCACAGTTACTATTCATCTAAATATAAAGTTGACATATCTTTTGTTATTTTAGTATCTTCTATTATTCTAGATTGTTTACAATTATCGAGTATTTTAAATAAGGAAGGTAATATTTCTCCCTACTGACAGATATAAACAAACTTGATACTTTCAGTCTAGATCTTTTGTGACGCTGTTTCCTACTGTGTTAGTGATCCGTATCTTTAAACTTTAAGTACTTTAACCTCGTTTTGAGTAAATGCAAAAAGCTAGAAACTAACTTAAGGTAGTTTTTGTGCGTAAAGGGACACAAGCAAATGACTCTAATAAAACAGTCAGCAATTTAAAGACATTGTGAGTTTGAGATATATCTCGCAGATAAGACCTTTGTTAGGTAAGTTTTTATATTTTCTGCACATTTTAAATTGGAAATAATTTAACTACATGAACTAAATAAAGACATATTGATTAAAACACGTAAGTCACTTTGATATAAAAATGAAAGTTTTAACCATCACACAGGCAAAATTGATAGATAAATTGTAAAAAAACAACAACACAAAACAGGTAAAATGGTCTGATTTATTGAACTAAATATTATAATAATTATTTGCCAAAACAAAGATACTCAATATCATTTCAAGACTACAAACGTAATCAGAAACGGTAGGTAGGACATTATTAAATACAATTATCTCATACACTACAAGTTTTAGAAGGGAGATACCGAAATATGATTCAAACAGCAAATTCATATTTTAACTATTTCAAAGTTGTATTTAACAGCAATAACAAACCGAAGTAAATAGTTATAAGGAAGATTATCTACTCTCTATGACGAAATCCATTTGTTTAACAAGCATTAGGACAATGCCTCGCAATATCTTCCTGTTACATGTAGATTCGGTTGTTTCAATCAAATGTTAAAACAAAAAGAACAACATATTTTTGTTACCGAATACAATGAACGCGTACGTCAATTTTGACTTTACGTGCAACAAATATCAGGAAAATAAAATAATTTCATTTTTATTTCCTTTTTACATTTTTTTCCTTCGTTTTTTTTTTTACTTTCTTTGTAAAAAGGATACCATGTAAAATGTTAATTTCACTGAAATGATGAAATGATAAAAGTTATCTTCAGTGATCAGTATCGACGTTTTATTTAAACACTGTGCATAAGTGTATCATATACAATGTAGATACATTTACGCACTTAAGAGCTTAGCCGGCGTAAAATCAGGACAAAAATGAAAACATATTATAATAAAAAATAACATATAAGGATATTTGAAAATATCGACAGAAGGACTAAATATACTAAAGATAGAACATACATAGCAATATGGTTAAAGTATATGACACATGCAACATACAACAAAGTAAACGAAAATCACACTACTGTTACAGTAATAGTTATAATACTGCATGTTTGCGACCTCACTTTTCATTGGATAATCGTGACGTTTATATTATTAGTTAATATAAAGATTTTGACATGTTTTATGGCCCTTTATAAACGTTTTTTTTTCTGGAAATATAACCCGAGCAGCTAGGCTACGGTCATATAACTTGTCAGCAATATTTATAACGAATCTATAATACAGAAAACTTCCTTTTGTTAGAAAAAAGTGAGATTTCTTACAAAATTGACAGCAGCCGTGTATATAAAACTATATAAACGTCACGATTATCCAATGAAAAGTGACATTTCTAACATGCAGTATTATAAAGTTTTATAAATATGGCTGCTTTTAAGTTATCCAAATAAATCTCATTTTTCTTTATAAAATGACGTTGTTGTATTATGAATTCGTTATAAAGATTCTTGACAGGTTATATGGCCGTATATAAACAGTTGTTTGGAATATAAATCTCGCCTATCGGATCGGGTTATATATTCTAACAAGCCCTTATATAGGTACATATAACCTGTCAATTATCTTTATAACTTATAGATTTAAGATTTTGTACATAACAGAAATACACAATATTGTTAAGGAAATAAAATAATTTACTTGACAGAAAAACATACTATTTTTACGGTAATGAAATACTGTGCATGACAGCAATGCACACCATTGTAACGGTAATAACATAATGCACTTAACAGCAATACACACTATTATAACGATTATAAAATACAGAACATGAAAAAAATGCACATTTTTGGAACGGTAATAAAATAAATACAGATAGAAATACACACTTTTGTAACGATAATAGAATAAATACGGTACATGACAGAAATACACAACATTGTAATGGTAATAACATACTGCACTAAACAGCAATACACACTATTTTAACGATAATAAAATACAAAACTTGACAGAAATACACACTTTTGTAACAATAATAGAATTAATACGGTACATGAAAGAAATACACACTATTCGTTTTATTGATAATAAAATACAATACATGACAGAAATACACACTATTGCAACGGTAATAAAATAAATACGGTACATGAAAGAAATACACACTATTGCAACGGTATTAAGATGTCGTACATGACAAAAAATACACACATCTGTAACAGCAACGAAATACACACTAATGTTTTGGTTATAAAATATAATGTTATTGACAGCCATTTATAAACAAAACTGTATGTTAAAATGTATCAAAATTTGAAATGAATTTTTGAAATTGTTAGTTTTTCTAAATAGAAAAATCATTACGTCAACAATATGACAGTTTTATCTTTGCACTTATGAAGATACATTTATAAGCAAATCGGAAACTAAGAAACATGGATGTTAACTTATTTATGATTTTTGAATCTACAAGTACTGACCACTGCATATGTTCCGATTAATATATATTATATATATATATATATATCAGTGTAGGTTTTTGATTTTTATTGTTGGTTTTTGTTGTTGTTTTTTGTTGTTTTTTGTTTTTTGTTTTTTGTTTTTGTTTTTTGTTGTTGTTTTTTTTGTTTTTTTTTTCAGTGGAATTAAAATTTATGATATATCAGTAGCTAAAAGAATATTCATATATATTCCACACGGATGGCAATTATTTAGTTTACGACTTGTTTTGCTGTGCCACTAGTCTATTCAAGTAAAGGCGATGAGTCGTCACATTATCGTTTTAAATTTCAGTATAACTGGAAGTTACAGTAGTAGGTTATAATGTTGTTAATTAAATACAAAATTTCTTTGTTTTCAGGTTTTATTTTCCACTGAAGTCATCATGACGAATGCAACATCAATCAGCTTGCTATTCCTGGTGATATTCTTCTTCTCTCACACTCAAGGGGCAAAGTCTTCAAATTTTACTATACCAGCACAAGATGGCGTTTTAAACAGTGATGTGAGCAAACACGTTCACATTGATAATTCAACAGCCATTGTTCGTCTTTCTTCACATGTTACAAATGAATGTAAAGTTGTTGTCAAGAACGCGAGTATAAAAATATTTCAACAGGTTCTGAAAAAACATAATCCTCATTTTGTACAGTTTCATATTCAGTTGCAGAATAAGACTCATTTATATAAAGTAAACAAAACAGCAGACGTGTTTCAACCTGGAAGATGGTACTGGACACTTGGATTTGAGTCTAAACCATATCAATTTCTATCATGGGATATAAGATATGGTATTTTCTCATTTGGACTGTTAGACTTTAAGACATCACTTGTACCAAAGATTTTTATGGAGGTTAATGAGGAATGCAATTTGACATTGGGAACAGAAGAAACATCATCCATTATCACAAAGGCTTTAATTCCTCTCATAACTACCGGTAAACCAGTTAGAAATAAGGAAAACTTTTTCTGTTATCTCACTATCGATCATACTTTGCGGGATAAAATAGTCTACTTAGTGTCGGTGTACTTCTTATACCCTAGCACATATATAAACTACAACTGTTGTTTCCTCAAGTACAATTTTACGAAGGAAACTTTTAATGATAACTGTTCTAAAGAAAAAGGTCAAAAATACTTGACGCATGTGATATCTATCAACATAATCCTTGGCATTTTGATAAGCGGATTCTGCCCGATACCATTATTTAAATTGTTCGCTTGGCTTAGTCAAAGTGATGGTAGTGATGAAGAGAAAGATAAGGAAGAATGGGTATATGCAAACGGAGAGCATCCTCTTTCATTTTTTGATGTTATGAGCCTTGAGGGGATCGGAATCGACAAAAAATGGCCAGTGTTGGCTTCAAGAATCAGAAGATTCTTTTGTCTTATATTGGCACCTTTGCTAATTTATATTGAGCTGTATATGTATTCTGGTGGTCTTGGCGTTTGGAAAAAAGGGGATAAGATTATTGTCAAAGAGTTAGTAGACGTAGGAATGCCTGTTGGTTTCATGGCACTTCTAGGTGATCCAAGTAATAGACATAAAGTTTTTGTACCGGCATTAGGGGGCCCAGTTGGCATCACTACTCTATATTTTCTTCTTGGTTTCCTGTATTTAGTTTTACCAAAATCTCTTAAAAGTGTTGTAAACAATGGGTTGCCTAATTCAGATGCTCTTTATGAAAGATTTGGTATCAATTCCGACACCGAAGGACAACGTCTTAGCTGCATAGTTATAAAGTCACCCCTTTTATTCGGAGCGAGGGATATTATAAAGATGTCCCAGATCAATGTTGGCGCAGGTTCGTTGGAATGTGGATACACAAAAGGTGGTACTCTAATGAGATGTAACTTTTATATGTTGTTTAAATCGCAGTTCTGGTGCTTAGTCTGGCATATACAAATTAGCAGGATATGTTTTATCCGTGACCGAATGCCAATGCTTTTGTGCTTGCTCAGTGTTGTTTTTATACCTATATATATTGCAATTTGTCTCGTAGAAATTTTGATGTGTATTTTATATTTCGGAGTACCGTTTTTCTTTTTCTTAATTATAATGATAAGAGCGGCTATGAAAATGATTCCCGACTTAAGGGGAAAATATACAGTATTTTCGTACCTATTTAGTTTTCGTTTCACGAGATGCCTCTGTAATTTTTCTTTATTAATATCCATTTTGTTATTCGCTTACTGTATTTACTTATTGATAGTTGCAAGCTTGAAGTTTGTCTCTCAAATAATAACATACTGTTTTGTTGCTGTTGTTGTGTTTCCTTCGGTTTCTTTTGGCAATCTTTTTCTTCTTGTCGTTATTGCATATTATGTAATACGTCAATTAAAGCTATTCAGCTATAATTATACATCAGTTCTTTTTTCTGCAGTGGCAATATCAAAAAGGATTAAAGAGACACAAAATCACGTGACTTGTTTCAATGGTAATTTAGCTATTTCAAACGTTATGTTTGAAGAACTTGAGGAAATCGAAATTAATGGAAGATTATTGGATACTTCTCAAAATATCCATATAACAAGCAATTTTGAGGGTCTAATTGAAATGAAAATGAATGACCACAGCTATGGCATACCAAAAGAGCTTTTTCAATTGCTCATTCGTAAATATCGCCCTATACACAAACATGTTCTGTCGTTACTATTTAGAGTTTCAGTTTTAATATTTTGGGTACTCCTTTTCCTTACTATAACACACAACTATAGTTTAATACCCGATGACCAAATAACAGAAGTACTTCACGTAATACTTATCATCGCTGTTGGCGCATTACCAAAGCTCATAGAATCTGATCATATCAGTCATTCTAATACGCCAAAGGACAAAATAGAAAAGAAATTCATGGAGCAGACGATTATTGAGTACTGGACTCAAAGACAAATATCATGAAAATGTTTATGCTGCTGAGATAAATCCAGCTTTGTTTCAGACATTGAGTACACAATATACTAATAAACATAAAGAAATATCAATTTTCATGAATGTCTTGAAAAAATAGTGATGCTTTACTTTGTGGCTATTTAATATAAATTTGAAAATGTTTCTTTGACTTTATTTTATTTTAGACGTGAATCTTTTACTCATAATGATATATTGGACGATATAAGGATCTTTTGAAAACGTATTTGCAATAAACCATAATATGCGGCACCACACAGACGAGTTTTCTATATTCGAATTTCGTCAATTGATTATTTATAGTGACGTTTTAACATTCGCCATTAAGCGATGAAGGCCTGAAGAACAATTCACACTGTATTTCATGTTTAATCAATTTCAGTTATAGTTGTTAATATCAATGACATACTACTTTACTTAACTATTACATTATCAACTTTTAATGTTGTTACTTGTTTTCGTTGTTGTTATTATTAAAAAATTTAACTCTCTTAGATTACTATTGCTTATTGTACAAACGAATACTATTAAAGTCTATAAAAGATAATAATATTTGTGTATGAAAAACTGTCAAAAGTTGTTTGTTTTTTGTTGTTGCTTTTTTTCCACTGGTATTCCCCTCAAACACTTCTGTGATTCTTTGGGTCATATCGTGTTATTAATATTTAGCTCATGAATCCAGTACTTATTTTACAGTGAATGGCACGCTTTTGGCGATGATTCTTTATTCTTACAGGACTTATCATTTTGATTTAACCCACCTGTGTTAAAATGGTATAGTTCTTTTGCCATGTCTGTTGTCATGTAACTGAGACCATTTAATTGACAAAAGAAAGGTGGTGGTTGTTGTTGTTGTTTTTGTTGTTGTTGTTAAATTTATATAAAGCTCAATAAATGAATTCGGTTATTGTTTCTCTGAACTGTGTTTTATGAAGTTTTAATACTGGATTAATTGATTTATAGCATTTTATTTGTGAATCACGGGTTAAAATAAAAGTATAAGTAGAACGTGACAAAGCGGATTTTGCCTTCTAAATATAAGGCAGTTTAAATTTCCTTATGTCAAAAATGCAATATATCATAAATACGTTTTTGTGTTGGTAAACAGCTATAATTTCTTCATTTTACTGTTTTTAAAACAAATGATATTTCAAACATATTGGCCTATGAAATACAATTGTTTATCTCTATTGTGTAGACATTTGTCATGTGATTTGAAAAAAAAACACACCAGGAAAATAATAAAATAGAACAAAGTTTCACAAGTGTGATGTAGCTTTAACTTCCTGTTTCTATTTTAATAACATGTTTATAATGATAAATGAATTGTTTTGAAATTAATTATTCGCGTTAATAACATCATACAATAAGATTGTTGACTTAAGAATTGAAAACACTTGATCCTTGCAAAACAGGAATATATTTAGTCACATAATCCGTTAAAGGGGAAATATCGCTTATAAATTATAGATGATAAATTAATAAAAACTGAAAACTAATAATGCCTTGGTGATAAATCTCTGTGACAAATAATTGTGACAAATTTGAAGGTTAAAGTTCACATGAATGTTTCAAGTTATGACGAGTTCTTGTATATGTATATACTCACAATCAAGTCAAACTATAGATATGGCAAGCATATAGATATGGGCTTTACAAATAAGTCAAACTACAAATATGACAAGTAATTATACTCTTCACAATCAAGTCAAACTTGATTCGACAAACATTTTCACGAAAGTATTTTTATGTCTGGAATTACTACAATTAAAGTTCTTATGTCTGACACATTATATAATAAAAATAGCATAACCCTGGGCGGCGGGTTATCCTCTTGGTGGATTTTGCCTCCCAGATGACATCCGGAACATAACGACTTTAAGCAGATTTATCTAGACGCATAAATTATGTTATTACCCAATCAGATAATTACATTTTATCATGTGATTTTTCTAAGCCAATACATAAACATATAAGCCATATCTTTGTTCATATTGGCGTACATGTTTCGTTGCCAATTTTCTAAAGAAAAAAAAAACAACTCTTCCAACTCCACCACCTATTTCAAATGTTGCCAAGATCTAGGACCTTAAAAATTATGATACATGCTTCTTTACTTATTCATGTTATAAGATATTACATCAAGATACTTTGTATTGGGGCGGTTTTTTGCCTCCCAGTTAGATTCTTTCTTTCGGGAATCTTTTATTAAACTATGTTATTTAATCAATTTGTGTATTTAGTATAAATAATGCTAGTTTATGGCATTTAAAATAAATGCCCGATTTTCATTCAAATCATGTGTTGTTTTCCCTTTTTTTCCTGGCGAGTTAGACCTAGCCTGTAAGTTTAACCCTGATCTTGGACAATACATAAGTAAGTAATATTCAGAATAAAAAACAGACGATTCACGAGACGTAAATACAATAAACGTGTTCTCTATGTAGTTAGTAAGTGGGCCGTGCAAAGGGAAAGTTAAGACGCGAAATGAGGAAGATTTTTCCACATTAACTTTTGTAAAAAAAATACATTTTAACTATATATATGTGTATTGCGGTGAAATGCGGTACAAACTAGACAAGTCATCAACGAGATAAGAAAAAAAGTGAATGGGAATTAAGGAAAAAGGGAAAGACTGTCACAGCTGATGTGAGTTACCAAGGTAAATAGGTATATTTTTATCATTTTATCATGCTAGCACGTATTAATGATAAGTTTACACAAAATCGACCAATACATTAATATGAACTAATGCTTGTTAAATATATGTCAACTACTTTTAAGGATATTTTGAACAATACTTAAACAATGGTTACATGAGAAGATGTCATAAAAACTATTTATTAATCAATTTATTTATTTTAAGGGTGTCAATGCTTTCTTTTTACATGTGACATGTTTCAAATAAATAAGATCATTTTATATTCTTATTCAATACATTATTCAATTATTTCATTCTTTTGTTGTTGTTTCTTTTTTATTTAGCTATTAAAGCAAAGAAATATCAAATGCAGTAAATAATTTGTCGGTGAATTTCTTCATCTACATTATTAATATTTAATTAAAAACTGCATGCCCCAGATGACAAAAAAAATCAAGCTAAAGAAGATAAATAATAAGATTTGAAGAAAAGTAAACATATTTACATTTCTAGGTAACATTTTATATTTTACATGCAATGGATAATTGTGTAGTATTTATTACCATATTTCAACTGAGTGACTAACGCAATAAGGGCTTTCTATGCATATTTTGACCTTTATCTGCTAATTTACATAGATTGAAACTGTCACTTACAATGTATGTATGGATATTAATTTCTTTGTTCACTTGAAAATATACATTTTCAAAATTTCATAAAAATAAGCTGCTTTAAGAAATGCTAGATTGTTATTTTGTCAGAAACTTATTTTATATTTCAGCACCCCTATTTCAACGAAAAATGGCTCATGTCAACGTTTTATACTATATCATATGTAATACATTGATAATGACGGTAGTCGTTGCTTTACATCAAAATCAAAACCGAAATAGTGAAAAGCAGAATTCCAGGCTATATTTCATGAACCATTATTTGAACCAAAATGTTGACATAAACACAATCAGTGATAATGGAGCAACCAACGAAAAATTGAAAACGAACAAAGATACAGTTCCTGATTTCAAAATAGAAAATTACGACTCCAAAAATACTGAAAAACTTAAACATCGTGATGAATATGAGTTAAATATAGATGAAGATGTATCGATAAATGAGGATTGCAACATCAATGTTGAAAACACCAGCATCAATTACTTTGGAAATGTGTTAATATCAGAACCGTACTTAGTAAAGTTTAAAATATTCCTAAAAGGAAATGCAACTGTTAGAAGCTTGAGCTCTACTTTTAAACCTTTACTCTGGTTTTGGACACCAAACACCACAGTTGGCCCATACCCTTTCTTGTCATGGAAAATTGATTATGGAATTGTGTCGTTTGGACTGCTAGATACCAACACCGTTGATATTCCTTTCATCAATGTACATGTTAAAGGTAATTGCAACTTCACTTTCGGAACAAACGACACATCGCACAAAATAACAAAGGCTTTAGGACAGATGCTGCAAGTCCATAATCATCCAACCGAAATAATTTTGTTTAGTTACTTCTGTTATATGAGAGTACGGGAAGACCTGATGAATACAAGTCACTATTATGCATCATTGTACATTATTTTTCCAATTCAATACGTGTCATATAATTGTTGTACGGCAAAGAAAAACTACAACAAAACCGAGATTGAGTATAACTGTACCGACACAACTATGGATAATCACAACTGGGATCAAATATCGATTCTTCCATTCTACGTTGGGCTTCTTCTTTTAGCATACTGTCCTATACATCTTAGTGATTTGTGTGCCTGGATGACAAAACATGAAAATATTCCTTCAAGAAGTGGAACACTAGATGATCGTTACGACAACAATAAAGACGACTGGGTGTTTGAAAACGGAAATAATCCATTAACATTTTTTGAGCTTCTTAGTTTCAGTGTGTTTGGACTAGACATTTCACACCCTGTTCTTGTTTCAAGATTACGTAGATTTTTATTTCTACTTTTGGCTCCATCTGTTCTTTATTTTCAATTATTCTTATATAGAAATGGAATAGGAATAAGTGAAACTGACAAAATAACAGTAAAAGAGCTTGTTGACATCGGAGCACCCATGGGATTCTTGTCTATATTCGGTAATCCTGAGAACAGAGGTATGGTATTTGTTCCTTACCTTGGTGGTCCTGTTGGTCTTGCTATCATATACTTAAGTTTAGGAATTGTGTTTATTGTTATGCCAAGACATTTGAAACAAATATTTGAAGACGGTTTGCCTTCTGGCTGTTCCAATGAAGATGAAAATGTCAGGACTAGAAATAAGAATTTAATTTCACCTTTGTTATTCAGAAATGATGATATTATTAACTTATCAAGAGTAAGTGTTTCACCAGAACAGTTGCATGGCGGTTATACAAGTACAGCAACGCTTATGAGATGCAGTATATATATGCTTTTTACAAAATCATTTTGGGGCAAAGTATTACAAATCCAAAAGAAACGTATCCTATCTCTCAAAGAATCTACTGCTATCTACAAGAAAGCAATGTTCATATTCAGTATTCCTCTTTATGCTGTTGCTTGTGTTATTGAAACACTCTGTTGCATCTTGTATTATGGTTTACCTTTTTGTTTCTATGTGGTAGTTGTTGTAAAAGGAGCATCGAAAGGCCTTGCAAATTTGAGAGATCAGATAGGTTGCTTGTCTTTTATTTTCAAATTCCGCATCTTAGAAGTCGTTGGTGTCGTCATCGTTTTCATCTTGTCGTCTGCTTTTGCCTATGTTATTGCTCTTATTTTTCTGAAGAGCTTCGCTGTTTTATCTCAGATTTTCATTCTGTGTTTCATCTCAATAATTATTTTTCCATCCGTTTCGTTTGGGTACATTTTTTTCTTTACAGCGGCTTTGTATTTCTGCCTTCATCAAATTCGAAACTTTGAAGAAGTATATGCAAATCTTTTATCGACTGCTGTTGAAGTCTCAGATAGAATCGAGGGATACTCAAATAATGTTTCATTTCTTAACAATAGATTAAATCTTTCAAATGTCAGATACGAAAACATAAAAGACATTCGGATCAACGGCAATGTTTTGGACATTTCTCAAAATGTGTTGAGAACTATACATCTTCATGGAAACTCGAGAATACGAGAAGTAAATAATACGATGGGTATTCCAAAAAAGCTTTTTGACCACCTTATACGTACTTACAGACCAGTTCATCAACAAGTGTTATCTTTTATTTTCAAAGTGTTTGCCATGGCGTCTCTTATCATCGTTACATTAAGTATAACCTCTGATTATGTGAAAGGTCCAACGTCGAAGATATCGGAAGTTATGCATGTAATTTTTTTCATAGCTGTTGGAGCTCTTCCGGAACTGATCGAGGTCACGGTGTCTTACCGTGATGACGAACATGTAAAGAAAGAAATCGAAGAAAGGAAAATGGAACAAACTATTCGTGAGTTTTGGAGACACAATCAAGGAATTCAAAATTGAAAAGACTATTTAATTGTTGTAGTTTTGCATAGAAGTAATTTTACCAAACCATTTGTTATATATGATTGATGTCGGTGATATAGGCTTTCTATTATCTGAGATACAATGTATATTGAATAAATTATAATAAATGAAATAAAATGTGTTCGATTTAATGCCCGTTATTGATTGCCATTTTTTATAATGTTAAACAACATAATTCTTAATAACTTGGAATATTTTTAAATGTTTTATAAAAAACAATATTTGATGAGATTTACAACGATACTGTTAAAAAGGTTAATGAAACTGTAGAATGCTTGGTTTTTAGGCCGACGGCAAAAATATTTTAACATATTTATTTAATGAAGCTTTAACTGTCGTAGTTTTGCATAAAAGTAATTTTACCAAACCATTTGTTATATATGATTGATGTCGGTGATATAGGCTTTCTATAATCTGAGAAACAATGTATATTGAATAAATTATAATAAATGAAATAAAATGTGTTCGATTTAATGCTCGTTAAGGATTGCTGGTTTTGCTCTTACATCGGCAGTAACCTCTACAGATCAATACCTTTTGTGGCACACATTTAAGGTATTGCTGATAAGTGTTTTTCTATAGAGGTTAAATTTATTGGGAAATCTAACTTCAAAAAAAATGATATCGTTGCTAATTGATCTACAGAAAGCCCCACTGCAGAGGTTCCACAGTTTAAATTTCAAATTTGGAGGATATATTGAATTTTAACTTCTACTGTGCATAAACAGGCATAATCTAAGAAACCCTGCAACATTTAAATGTCAAACAACATTGATTTTAATATCTTGGAATATTTTATTATTAAAAGAAACCTAATGAGACAAGAGCCGGTTGAACTGGATGATGCTCCCCGAACAGATTTTGGACACAGAAAAGTATACCTCTTGTAGTTTCAGAGTTATGCAATAATTCCAAACTAAATCAAGACAGAGTCACTGTTCTCTGCACTGCTCGTTTACCCAATGGGATCTATCTACGTTGATATCTCTTATATTGCCAGAGTTATAACCCGGACAAAGTTCAAAGTGTAAAAATGAACAAAGGGCAAAAACTCCAAAAATTAGGGAAGGCAGAATTATGGTTCCTGTGCACTGCACATCTACCCAATGAGATCTATCTACCTATAAAGTTTCATGTTGATATCTCTTATAGTTCCAGTGTTATGTCCTGGACAAAGTTCAAAGTGTAAAAATAAACAGAGGGCAATAACTCAAACATAATGAGAGACAGAGATATAGTTCTTTTGCACAGCACATCTACCCAATTAGATCTATCTACCGATAAAGTTTAATCTTGATATCTCTTATAGTTTAAGTGTTATGTCCAGGACAAAGTTCAAAGTATTAAAATGAATAAAGGGCAATAACTCCAAAATTAGGTAAGGCAGAGTTATATCTACCTGCAAAGTTTCATGTTGATATCTCTTATTATTCGTAAGCTAGCTGGATAGCTTCTTCACATGAAAGGATCCAAAGTCCCTGTCGGGATTCGAACCCACAGCGGTGAGGGGCGAGTGGTTTGAAGTCAACGAAATAAGACATATTCGACATTAACGTCAACATAAGAATTTACATCAAATATCCGTACTATATATGTTTCCACAAAAAGCATTTGAAATGCGAAAAGGAAAACAAAAACTTTTCAAAATAATCAGCATACACGACCCTGAATAAATTACTTCGCCTTCTTAAACTAAGTGGTTAAAAATCGTCATTTTAATTTTCTAACGAAGGTTTTAATACAAATTAGATCGATTATCATGCGTCAAGGTCAATTTTTCAATCAAATGATCATGCTAATGTTCATGCTAATGAAATTTTGTCACGAGACCACTTTTATCCTTTTTTGTATGTTTTACGAACTGTGAATAATTTGACATATTACGCCATTACAAAGTCCAATTCATTCTTGTTTAAACTCAAATATAGACTGTTCTACATATTTCTTTTCTATATTTACTCTGGAATCTCGTCGTTGTATTTATTATACCTGACAACGTAATTCTATATTAGGTACGAAAGAAAGCTGCAACAAATGATTACTAATGTGTCAGAAATATTGGCAATATTGTCAGAAATGTTATCCAGTTATACGGTTACCCAGGATGAATTCCGAGATGATTATTGATATTCGGCGAGGTGTTCCAAATGAAAGATATCTTAAAATTTTCGAATTTAACCTTTTGATTCCGAAAGGAAATGATCATGATTATCCCCAAGAGAATTCCTCTTTGATAATTAATCCGGTCAATTATATAAAACCTATTAACTTAACTTTAAAATAATCAATCGTGTCTCGCTCGCTCATGTACCAAAATCTAATACTGTTTGAATTATTATTGTATCAGTTTTATATAAAGAATATGTGTTTGTTTTGAGTTAATATGCTTTGTTTCATACTGACAAATGAGGGGATTGCAATGTTTCCACGAGTCAGTAAAGGGAGTGGAAATGTAATTAATGATGACGTCGAGCGTTTTAAACGGCGACGTAAACGCTACAAAACAAATATACATGTCCATGTAATTTAACTACATATCTTATGAATGTGGCCAGTTAAAAGGTGACTTTATCACTTTCTACGTGTCCATATTTTATCACAAAAATAGACTACATATGTACCACTAAAATCGTCCTAGAAATATACGGAGTCAATGTTTAACATGTTCGTTTAATATAGGTCTTTACAGTGCGTGTTAAATCCTACATGACAGAACTTAAAACAGGAAAAAATAATTTGATTTAATATTTACAGGATGGTTTCTGGTGACGACTGAGTTTTCCCATGCGACCAGTGCAGACCACGATTACATATCACATTCGTGACGTCTGATCATGGTTTGCACTGTTCGCTATTCATTCAATTTGTACATATTTTGAAAATTTCCTTGAAATTTAGATATGTTCTAATATATAAAATAAGAACAATGAAATTAACTAAAAATAACAGAACCAAGTATCTCATTTTACTTCACTTAATTTTCAAACTATATGCGTCGGAAACAATGCACTCGAATGTCTGTTTGGGCAGGTTTTGATTCACTACAAGGAAAAGATCATAAGGCGGCTTTCCAGGAACTGGTTGGGAAAGATTTAGGGTACTCTCTGAGCATTATCTCATTCGAGATCGAGCACCTGTATAGAACGGCCTACCATTCGGTTTCTACATAAAAGAATCTATAGTCCCTGGCGGGATTCGAGCTTACAGCGGTGCGGGGTAAGTGATTCGACGTTCGTGACCTTTACATTTCGGCCATGGAGACCCCATCTCGAAGTACTGCTAAAATAAATCAAACAACATCAAGGTGAAGAGGAAATTAAGACATATTTCACCCAGATAATTCTGATTTTTTAGGAGTGTCTCAGTAGAATAACGTTGACACGACTTGACTCTGCTTTGTTTGTTTTCACAGATTCCCTTTTTAAAATATCGGCTGAACATTTAACCTGTAAATAAAATCTTGTATTGAGACTGGAGTTTGTAATCGATATGTCAAATTATTCAACAGCAGTATGTTGACAATGCTTTTAATACAAGTGGGACTCATACGTCCTTTAAACATGACAATACAATATGAACAAATACTGATCGGGGTATTTGAATAATGCATATGATGTTGCTGTGAGAAGAAATGCATGATGAAATAATAATAATAATATTGTACATAGATAAAGAATACAATGAGAGTATAGCTTACGTAACATTCGTAATTGATCTAGAAGAGAATAAATGCTAGATCAATAGAAATAAATCGCGCTTGTGATATATCACCTTAAAGAGAGCGATCAAAAACTGTCGCATTCCATATATAGCGTTAAGACAGTAAACATATCAATTTTCTCTATATCAAAAAAATATTCGCGAAGTGCACATAAGTGCTTCTGGAGTTTATATTATTTAAAGAATTGAATCAAGTAATTAGTGGAAATACGACTTAAATCGGAAAGTTAGCACTTGTGCAAAGAATGCCGTCAGAAAAGAGTTGGATACATTTACAAATGATTTTTCAATTACTTTAAGCTAATATTTCATTTGCGACTTAAGATATGTTTGTTCAAATCGAAGATTAAACATATAATTTCCGCTCGGACAAATGTGGCTCTGTGTTCTTATCAGTTCAATAAGTCGACCATCTCACGACCGTCGCTTTTTTAAAATCATAATTCAAAAATTGTAAATTTGTGTCCCAGGTTACATCAACAATTTTGAAATGGCAGATTTGTTTTTTCCGATTACATAGGACCATTACGGTTTTCACAGCATCACTTTTGGCGTTTTATTTGACGTGACGTCATCATTTAAACATTGTTTTACACGTCAGTTTATGTCAACGTTTGGTGAAATTTCCGTTAATCTGAAGAAACTTTTCACAAATACGAGTGCAGAGTAATTAGAAAATGGAGGCGAGAATAGAAACCGGTAAGTTTATGTTGTTTTTTTTATGTTTATGCATTATTGTCTGTATTTTTTCGTTAGTTAATTCGTGAGACTAAATTATTAGTTAAGCTAAATATAAAATAATATTTTATTGTAGCTTTATAAAACATGTAAAATATAAATAATACAAAACAAATGTACTGTACATATATAAGTATAATGCCAATGGGTTGGGCTACAAGTTATTAACATTAACTAGTCGATTTTCTTTATTATTTTCTTATGGAATAAATTTAAATATATGTTAAATGCATTAAACATGAACAATAAAGTGTGTAAGAAATTCCTTTTATGTAATTTACACTTCAAAAATATAAAGAGTACCTGGTATTCAATAATTGTAACTATACGTGTATTACTTTCATTTTGCCTTGAAAATTTAGAAGCAAAAGAAACACATATTCATGTTATAAACTGCTAATTACTTTCAGGTATCCGGTCAAAAGCAGTAGGACGGTATAAGCTATTTAGTGCAATATTTTTTGGTCAGGGATTTCTGCTTCTATTTTTCTCATCATATACCGGAACGAATATTCATGGAGACGGGAACGGAACCTTTCCTTACTACGTGCCCTCAATCATCATCAGTATTACGGTGAGTTATGTTTTAGAGTTTATGCTGATTCCGTCCATTTCTTTGTATTCAGACTTAATAAGGGGAGTGGTGGCCTAATGTTTAAGGTGTCTACCTCTCAACCCAGGGATCATTTGTTTAAGCCCTACTTGTGTCACGGCCATGTTTCTTCATATGACACAAGTACTGGTTGGTTTCCAGGCAGCGGACTCAAAATTGATTTATATAAGTTGCAAGAACTTCTTTCGCAATTGAGCTGAAATAAATATGTTTAAACAAACTATTCCTTATACTGTAAAGGAAAGAACAAGTATCAAATAGATTTGATACATGAAGTCTTTTTGAGGTTTACTAGTATTCTCCTGTGTACTTTTTTAAATAGTACACAGCATGTTTAACGGAGCGGCATTAAAACTTTAAGACTTTTGCCGCCAAAGGTAACAGCATAAACATAAATATTTATACATTTAATAAAGTGTTACAGTATGGGATTTTCTCTCTTCTCGACCAGCTTAATCAATGTTATCATAATATATTTATCTATTTATCTTACTTACCTACTTTATTTTGCCTTTCCTTGCAATACCTTACATTAATTTACTTTAAAACTTTACTACTATATGAACTTAATTTCACTTTACTTTTACTTTAACTGTTACTCTGTTACTTTTCTTTTGCTACAACTGTTAAATTAACTGTTACTTTAATCTATTTCTTTAACTGTTACTTCTATTCCTCCACCTTACTTTACTTTTATCTTTACTTTATCTTTACTTTAACTTTTATTCTAACTGTTACTTTACTCTCGTTTTAACTGTAACATAAAGTGTTACTTTAAAGTGTTTCTTTAACTGTTACTTTTATTCCTCCACTTTTCTTGTCTTTATTTAACATGACATTACAAAACTTCACTTTGCTTATTTTACTTGTATATTTACATTTTACTTTACCGTTACCAAACCTTGCCTAACCTAACCTACCTTACCTTACCATACATTACCTTACCTTACCATACCTTAGTTTACCTTACCATACCTTACCTCACATTACTTTCCTTACATACCTACCTTACCATACCTTACCTTACCCTATTTTAACTTACTTGATCTTACTTTATCTTAGATTACGTTACTCAAATTACAAGTATTTAACTTATATGTATTTAGGTAAAGTTTTAATAGTTCAAGTTCAAGTTCGAGTGTGTATAAATTTGTTAAAGATATTCTAATCTAAGTCAATTATGGAGATTATATTGACAAATCATCTGTATAAACATAGGAACAAGTTAAACTTTAGTGTACTTACAATATAAGATGTTGAGGATACTACGTCGATCTCTGTCAAATGACCAAAGAATGTGTTTTTAAGAAGCCGATTTCATACAGATAAAATCATAAGTAATAGTGTATTATACATGTATACTCGTACTAATAAGTGAAATATTGACAATTATTTAATTTTACCCATGAAATATGGTGCTGTATCAGTCAAATATATTTCATATTTTTTAAAAAATAAATATGAAATATAAATATGAAAGTGGGCGGAGTCAAAACTCATATTTATTTTAAGGGACTTTTTTCGCCGTTTTGTTTGAAAAATCTGATAAATACTAAACAACTTTTTCTTGAATATTGTTTTGAAAACTATCTAGCATGATAGAAAATGGTCTAACTAAGAAAATTAATCCGAACACCAATATCTTTAATTCAGTAATTAACGCTGTACAGACGTTTAAAGAGTTGTTTACATGACTCACAATGTAGCGCCAAACAGCGCGTGCTTACGCATAAATTACTGCGCTCTGTACAATTGCAGTTGGTAGCAAGCAAGGGGATTCGTTACCATTCTCTTTGATAATGAAATTAAATAAAAAGGTCATTTTTTCGTTTTTTGTGAAATATGGTATATATTTTCACTCAACATCATAAAATGCAACATATTTTCACTCGCCGTACCGGCTCGTGAAAATATGTGGCATTTTATCATGTTTCGTGAAAATATATTCCATATTTCACGCAAACGAAAAAATATCCTTTTATTATTTAATTTTACCCATGAAATATGGTGCTGTATCAGTCAAATATATTTCATATTTTTAAAAAATAAATATGAGTTATAAATATGAAAGTGGGCGGAGTCAAAACTCATATTTATTTCAAGGGACTTCTTTCGCCATTTTGTTTGAAAAATCTGATAAATACAAAACAACTTTTTCTTGAATATTGTTTTGAAAACTATCTAGAATGATAGAAAATGGTCTAACTAAGAAAATTAATCCGAACACCAATATCTTTAATTCAGTAATTAACGCTGTACAGACGTTTAAAGAGTTGTTTACATGACGTCACAATGTAGCGCCAAACAGCGCGTGCTTACGCATAAATTACTGCGCGCTGTACAATTGCAGTTGGTAGCAAGCAAGGGGATTCGTTACCATTTCTTTGATAATGAAATTAAATAAAAAGGTTATTTTTTCGTTTTTCGTGAAATATGGTATATATTTTCACTCAACATCATAAAATGCAACATATTTTCACTCGCCGTACCGGCTCGTGAAAATATGTGGCATTTTATCATGTTTCGTGAAAATATATTCCATATTTCACGCAAACGAAAAAATATCCTTTTATTATTTAATTTTACCCATGAAATATGGTGCTGTATCAGTCAAATATATTTCATATTTTTAAAAAATAAATATGAGTTATAAATATGAAAGTGGGCGGAGTCAAAACTCATATTTATTTCAAGGGACTTCTTTCGCCATTTTGTTTGAAAAATCTGATAAATACAAAACAACTTTTTCTTGAATATTGTTTTGAAAACTATCTAGAATGATAGAAAATGGTCTAACTAAGAAAATTAATCCGAACACCAATATCTTTAATTCAGTAGTTAACGCTGTACAGACGTTTAAAGAATTGTTTACATGACGTCACAATGTAGCGCCAAACAGCGCGTGCTTACGCATAAATTACTGCGCGCTGTACAATTGCAGTTGGTAGCAAGCAAGGGGTTTCGTTACCATTTTCTTTGATAATAAAATTAAATAAAAAGGTTATTTTTTAGCTTTTCGTGAAATATGGTATATATTTTCACTCAACATGATAAAATGCTACATATTTTCACTCGCCGTCCCGGCTCGTGAAAATATGTGGCATTTTATCATGTTTCGTGAAAATATATTTCATATTTCACTCAAACGAAAAAATATCCTCTTAATATTGATTAAGGAAAATGCGTATTTGCATTTTCCGTATTTTCACTGTAGGCCTATAGATTTATTTTTCACTGCAGTGAAACATATTTTTCGTATATTCACTGATGTCTTACCGGACTGCTTTCTTCTAAATTCAGATAATATACAAAATTAAAGGGGAAGCTTTTCGAACTGTAAGGTCCGCCACTCATGAAATATTAATTTTCAAACCACTCGTTGAAAATAAATCCCGTATCTATAAAAAAAAACTTGAAAAGTATCTATATAATTAATATCTAGTTACACGAACTTAAATATCTATAAAAAAAAATAGTCTGTCCCATTAAAAATGGAAATGAATATTTGCCTGGTATGAATTAACAAAACGACGTTGAATTAAAATTAAAACTGTTTTGTAATCTAAAAAAAAAGTCACCCTCGAGATTTTTCAGGATTTTTCTCTTAACCCATTACGCGATATACACGCCTTTTAACGCCTTTTTCAATCCCCCTCCCCTTTTTGTTGTCTCAAATGGTGAGAAAATGCCTTATTTAGGCCCCCAACACTTGTTTTTGTTTGAGAAATGTTGTTAAAAAAGTGAGCACTTTTTCGGCGCGGCCCCTCATCTAAAAGATGCCCCCTTCTGTTTGGGGGGTTTGAAAGGGGGCGGTAGTCCCCCTCATCGCCAAGAAAATTTTGGACTTGTGAGAGGCTAAAAATGACCCCAGATCGATTATATGGTAACGTGTAACCAACGCTGAAAAGCATTTGACTCTATCTTAATCCATTGAGAAGTTGCAGCACTTTGAAATCAATTTTGATCGAAAAAAATCAACGCAAAATAGTGATTTTTGGCAATTTTGAGATGTCCCCTCGTTGCCATGGTAACAGAAAATTTTAGCCTGAGCATGTTGTTGCAAAGGCAATTGTCCAGTCAACATTTGTGCCAAGTTTGATTAGTATTGGAGCAGTTTTTATAGTTTTATAGCAATTTGAACTTGTAACGGGAGACTTTTCAATAAAAACAGCCATTTTTCAAAAAATGCTCATGAAGTAATGTGTTATGTGTATACTATTCTTGTAAAAGCAAAGTTTCATTTCTCTACGGCAAATCTCTGTTGTTTATTTTCAATAGCCATTGCCGAGAAGATGAACGGGAGAAAGCACGTGTCATGTTTCTAAAATGTTCATGATGTTCTCGGGGGTCGTTTCATGATTATTTTACAAAGCTGGATCTATAACATGCAACAGTTTAGTTGCAATGCATGATGGAAAACTTTTAAAAAATAAGAACATCGAGTCATATGGAGTAGATCTAGAAATTGCGCTTACTTTTAAGTTTTTATAGTAGAATCAAGTATGAATATTACTGACTTTATGGAAACAGGGCTGGGAATCAAAACTGCGTCGTATCCTACAAAATGTAAACAAACGCCGCCATCTTGGAGCGAAAAATGTATGTTTTTGTATATAACTCTTTTTGTTGGAAATGACTGAAAACCAGATATATGTATTAACACGCTACACTTTTTTCCGCTTCGTTCCGTATATGTTGCTTGCACAAGTATTTTGTAAAACAAAAGTTATAGCGAACTTGCAACTCAAAGCGGGGCAGAATTTTTATGAAAATGTGTGGATACGACGCAGTTCATATTGCTTTATCTATCGTTTTTTCCTTCAAATCAATTATATACTCGTTTTCAGAGTTCACCATAAACTTCAAAACATAATTTTGCATCATTTACTAAACTTTCATTAAAAAGAGATGTTTATTTTCCAAGAAAATAATGATTTTTACGAAATGATACGACGCAGTTG